CGTAAAGTAAAATAGCTGCTTAAAGATTTTATCCTTGAAGATCAGTCATCATAAAGTCAAGCACAATTGTAGAGATGTTGACAGTGAATTCAAATTTCAGATCAAATTTAGAGTTACTAATCATCATAAAAATATTTCAAGGCATGGCCAAATATTGAACTTATGACCCTTGCATTGCTCTTTACAAAATAACAATAACCACAATCATTACTACTCAAAACAATGTACACGGCAGGCATTTAAATTGTTTAAAAGAAAGGTTACGGGCTGAGTTCAAGCCTACCTGTTCCAGAGGAACGAAGTAACATAGCTGAAGAGGTTGCTTAGAAATTACCCTAAGTAGGGAAAGTTCCTAAGACAATTTTAAGCCTAAAAGTAAGAGACCCACTTACACACAAGTTATCAACAGAAAATATGGAAATCTGTTTAGTTCTATTGCTATTCGCAATGTGTATGAACAATTTGAAGGAGGTTACCAAATCTAACATTTCTAAACTTGCTGCTCTCCAAATTAGATGTGATTGAGTAGTAAGGTAGATGTTAAAAGGCTTCAGTCAATTGGGCTTGTATTGACTGAAGTTAAGAATTAGAGAGGATCTCATTGAAACTTCAGAAGTTCTGGCAGGGCTAGATAGACTGGATACAGAAGGATGTTTCTTGTCCAGGGACTATACAACAGGGGATCATGGTCTCAGAATACAGGATAGGTAATTTCACACTGATGTGTGGAGTTTTTCCATGTCATGAAAATTGCTTTTGAGTCTAAAACTCATTTCAGCAAGGGCTCCTCAGCATCACTTCTTTAAATCTTTACTCAACAAACTCAAACTCAATGCTGCCTTCAGTGAGCTAATCCTCCACAATGGTGTGAAATGCTTAATTCAAGGAATGTCCTGCAAAGATTTTGAGCTGAAGCCTAACATTTTCACTTTTCCTAAATCAAGGAATGAAGCGAGTAGTGAGCTGTCAAACAATGCACGATGGCTCAACTTCAGGTTCCTTACAGACAATGTCAAAATTGAATGAATTGAACATTAAACTGCAGGCAAAAGACAAAGACTTACATGCGATCAGTGCTGTGAATACATTCCAATTGAAACTGGGTCGGGTTTGTTCTAATTCAAAACAAAAACACTGCAGCACTTTGAGTCTGAAGAAATTATTAGATCAAAATCAAATACAAAAAACAAAAAAAAAAGAGTAGTAGTCCCCTCCAGCCAACTTTGTGCATACCTTAAGAAGCGAGCAGAAGACTGCAACAGGTGATTTCAGGAGTTAGATGTCATGGAAGAAACTGTCATGTTTGCCTTAAATCCATTCCTTCAAGCATACAGTGGGTTAGTTGTCAAATTCATCAAGTGTTTGATTTACAAAGTAGTGGAGTTGATACGGAGGTAACAACTATGCAAAATGATAGAGAGTTGAATGCCAGATCAAGGCTCAGCAATCTCTGGGGACTCCATCAGAGAAAAATACCCACCTTGCATACCTCAGACAATTATCTGCATTTTTTGGAAGAATGCCAAGTCCAAGTATAGTATCTGTCTCTCGGATATATATTTGATGGACAATTTTGAGTCAGAGTCATGCAGAACAGAAACAGACCCTTCAGCCCAATTCATCCATGCTGACCAGGTTTCCTAAACTGAACTTGTTCCATTTACCTGCATTTGGCCCATATCTCTCTATACCTTTCCCATCCACATACCTATCCAAACAGCTCTTAAAATGTTTTAGCTGTATCTGCATCTAGGACTTCCTCTGGCCCTTCATTCCATATACACACTACCCTGTATCCCAGCTGTCTATACCTGACCGCTTGGGAACCCTGCAGCCCAATGGTATCAATGTGGATTTCACAAGTTTCAAAATCTCCCCTCCCCCTACCGCATCCCAAAACCAGTCCAGCTCGTCCCTGCCTCCCTAACCTGTTCTTCCTCCCACCTATCCCCTCCTCCCACCTCAAGCCGCACCTCCATCTCCTACCGACCAACCTCATCCCGCCCCCTTGACCTGTCCGTCCTCCCTGGACTGACCTATCCCCTTCCTAACTCCCTACCTACACTCACCTTTACTGGCTCCATCCCCGCCTCTTCGACCTGTTTGTTTCCTCTCCACCTATCCTCTCCTCTATCCCTCTTCTATCCGCCTCCCACTCTCTCCCTATTTATTTCAGAAC